AGTCCTTGCCATCTGGTATGAAAGAACGTATGTTGATGTTCCCCAGCACATTCACCTTGGTCAATACGTCGAGAGCAGTACGTTGCGTAACGTCTGCTCTCGTTCTTGCGGCCATTGATTCTCACGTCTGTTATTTGTCCCGGAACGAGCGCCTCAAGTGACATAGACGTGATCTGGCGATTAAGTCGGTTCATGCTGTCAGCAGCATTCAGCGGGGCAAACAAAATAGTGTGAACCGGTGGCTCTTGAATATTCGGGGTGGCCTTACTTTGGGAAGGAGATGTCGTAAGAAGCCTCCTCTTCGCCTTGCGTCTTGCCACGGGCACAGAGTCACTTTCATCGGAGCTCTCATCACTGGCCGTAGAGTATATCAGCGTGTCCTCACTGTCGGCTTCACTTGGGTGGCCGAAGCGCTTTCTTAGAGTGGCCACAGACAACGTGGAAGATATGAGTGGAGGCTCTGGTGATTCTACGTCCATTTCCGCAGGTAGAAGAACGGCGTCTTCCACAAGCACCAATTAAAAACGAGAAAAAATAACAGAGACTGAAACCAGCGTTCCACTCATGAAAAACTTCGTTGTGTGTGATATACTATATACAATACCATGCCATACAATATCATACTATGCCCCATACTATGCCATGGTATAACATACAGTGGCGTAGCCAGAGGTGAAACACCCGGCCCTTGCCTCCTCCCCCCCTCGCAATTTTTTTTTTGCTATGGCATTCGACAGAGTGGTGAATTGGGCTCGTTGGGGGTGGTTCGTTATATCTTCTTGCGCTGAGGATGACGGGACGAGTATGACACAGGGGCTACAGGACAGGTGGTGCGCAACACCACGGGACAGGACAGACAGCTGTTGCGCACCACTTCTCTTGCAGTCCCTGTATCGTCCTCGTCCCGTCATCCGCTGCGCAACAAGAGATCATGTGCCATAGCATACAGAGCCCAAAATGAGACTAGACCACCTCTGCCTGCCCGGCCCTCACTTCATACTGTAAAAATGCTCCCCCCCCCTGAAAAAAATTGTACCTACGCCCGTGATCCCAATCCAGCATCATCTATTTGTCAGCTACTTGTACCTCTGATCTCGAAGCAAAAGTAAATCATGTTAGTATGTTAACTCACATATATCATGTCGGACCAGACATTTTCTTTGGTATTGATAAACACAGTTCTTTCTATTTTATTGACGTAGAATTCACGTGAACTTGGGGAAGGCAACAGAATCGAAAGTTGGGCTAGTTGGAACCTGGAAGTTGGCTAAACTGGAACCTGGAAGGTTTTTAACTTGCCCGTGGTGATAACTTTGTTTCTTTAATATGGAAGAATTAGTTGCGCAGTTCCGCTCAACTGAAAAGCTTGTACGGTCCGCGATTTTTCGGAGGCTGGCCAAAGAAAAAAAATGGCCGTTTTCAAGAACACCCGTAGGCGGAATCAACAAATCAAGCGCTTTATTTCCACGTGAAGAAGGTAACAGGTACATACCAAAAGAAGGTTTCTTAACAAATTTTTCAACACGTTTTGTAAAGCGCGTGGATGACTACTTATGTATATCTTCCACAGGCATGTAATGATTGCTTGCGGACACGGTGTTGCTTTACAAATGTAATGACCGGAATGACTCCCTCGTTCATCTCGCACAGTATACGGTAACTGCAGTCTCTATTGTGCGCTATGTGTATGCCATCTGCGTTATACTTCGTGATAAAGTGAAGTGTTATTCTTTATTGACTTTTTGTCTTGTCCTCACTACCAATTTAGTGAATATTTATATACGACGACAAAACGTTTAATCTACCTCCAGTCTGTTCATAGGTAAATGCAACAGTGTACAGTGCTCAGCAATTCAAATGCGACTGCTGGCCTGCTTGGGAGCCGGCACATTTTTGCATCGCCAATGAGCGATGAATGATTGTTTGGGGCCCAAATGCTGTCACATTGAGGACCAAGGTTTCCGATTTCCTGGAGTACCATTACGAAGCAACTGTAGGTAGATTATTACGTTTCAATTGCCAAGAACCAACAGTATGGTGACCAAAGGTTAAAAACATATAACTAGGACATTTCAGTTTTTTGCAGCAAATGAAACAATACCACAGATATCATTGGTATTATTATGACTTTTCCTTATGATTGGCAAATATGTCACCTTTCCGTACGTTTTATGCACAATAGTCATTAGAACTTTGTCCGTATGACATCGCACTGTGCGAGTTACAAACTGGTGACTCTTCCAAATGATTGTAGGAAGCAAGAAACGTGGTGGGGAGACTATTTGACAGTTTTCAAGCATTTGATGTATAACAATAAAATAATGACAAAAAGATCAAGACAGAACTAGCGGAGATGAATCGCGTGGCTTCTGTAAGTGCTGTTTTTATGGTGAAATGACATTTATGCCACCGGGGTTGTGTATATACTAGCGTAAACTTATATCTTCGTTTATCCTATTCATAGATGATATAAGGGATATGATATGTGGAATAATATAGACGATTTCGTTTTGTATGTAAATGACACAAACATGAAAACGGCTTAACAATAACAAAAAAGAACAACAAAGAACAGCAAAAACTGGATCACAACTTGTTGACATAAAAATTAAGACTGCTTTTCTAGCAAGTTTATGTGATGACAGCGCGAAAAATCAAACAATGAAATAAATGGTAAATTTATGAAGGCAGGAAAAGAATAAACGTAAATGTTGTGGCAACATCGGAGAGATACATAGAAAGGCAAGTTTCGTGGTCCTTGGGATTGCTGCCACTAACTCTAATAAACCTGAGATCTCAGGAAAAAGAACTGAGTGAGCATGCTGTGAATCAATTTAAAGTTGTGTAACAATGCAAGTCAACCAATAACAATACGTTTTCGAACATTGGTATTACCACTTTTTTTTTCGTTTCGGCTGCTAGTTTTTGAGGTGAATTCTGACTGATACAGCAAAAACAAACAAACGAAAAAAAGATAGCACGAAGTTACTGAAAAAAACAACAAGTGAAAACAAACCGTCATATCAGTGTCACGCAGATCACTTGTTCATAATCATATTCTGAAATAGGTTTTGTTGCTTGGCTAGAAGGCATTGCTTCTAACCGTAGGCTGCATAAATCCAGAGAGATATGTTGGAGGCGGGAGAGAGAGAAGAAGGATAAAAGAAAGACAGGACGGTTAACCAAGGCCGATCACAAAAGGGCAAAAAAGTTGAAGAAAGCAGGACACTAAATAAGTCCCTCAAAGTAGTGAACTTCTTCGAAATGAGACTTTGAGAAAGTGGCACAACAGAAAATGGTGATGCGTCTCGTTTAAGGTACAAGTTTAGCAACAAGAAAACGCTGTTAAAAAAGATGTTTGTCCTTCCATTCCACCCTCATTTCAACTTCAACAATTCAACCTACAGACTAGGTGTGCGAGCGTACCAAGCGACAAATTACAACACAGCAACAAAACATTCAGAAGAATGGTAAGCTAGACGAGTTGGTAATATTCCATAATGTCACTGCATAAAAAACGGACGGAAACCTTTTCTGTTCTTTTAGCTACTTTCTTGTTTCCGTTCGATTTTTTGCGCATTTACATTATGAACAAAACATTGTTAACAGAGGAAGAGATGATGGCGTTTGAACTTACTAACTGCGGCATCGATTTAAGTCTATATACGAGAACACAGACACTAAACTGGCAAGCTGAACCACATAAAAAGAAAATAAGAAATATCAGTTCATTAACATCTTCGAAGGCTCGTCCTTATCCGGCCTCGTCTTCGAACATAAAATTGTACTTCGGAATGGTTATCTCATACTTGTGATGTACATATAACCTATTTTTTCCTTCTTTTCACATTAAATGAATACGTGAAGTATCTTTGGCACCCTTGGCAAGGTTTGTATGAACTCATGTACAATAAAAGAGAAAAAAAGGTAGTTAATAAACAAGTAATTACCAGTAATTATTTCCAGAACTTAGGATGATGAACAAGAACCGCCATATATGCGTCCATCACTTCCAGTGACGGTGAAACTTGACTTCGCCCTCCAGAGCAGACTTTTACCATCGATATGCCTATAAATACTTCACAACGATTCATAGTGCTTTCAATTGTGGTGTAATCGACGTCATTCGCTGGTATATGACGAATTCATGACGTCATTTTATTTGCCTAACACATTGCGTCTTCGGAATTCTGTAAACAAGATTGTGTAATTGGAAGTCCACCCTTGTTGTCAGCACAAGTATATCGACGGGCAACCTTGATTCTATGCTTAATAATAAGCTGTCTCGTTTTGGTGCACCTTGAACATTAAGCCATTAGTGAACCCATTCGTTTACTGTTTGCCCACTTTCTTAAATAAAGTAAAGATGCGAGGGCTGCCTTGTAACGAGTCCTCCGAGATGGTGGTCGGGATATTATTGATGCAAGGCACGCGGTTCGTTACCGCTTCTGGATACCAAAAGATGTCGTGGTCGACGTGTCATTCCCGCCAAGGTGAATTTCCTTTAACTGTGCGCATTTCTATGCTTAAGGATATGCAAGATTTGCGCCGATGGTTACATAAATGACGTAGGACGGTACGTTTACATGTAAATTGCTGCTAATGACAAAGAGCAAAAACGTCAAAATCTTCACGGTCCTTTACGTACTTTTACGTCTCTGTATCGCGAAAAACGTGCAGCCTCATAAATGAAATCATGATAAGATTGTAGGTTGATGAGTGCAAAAGCGTGGAATAACGAAACTTGGGTAAACCATAACTGAGCCTATTCGTATACGCATTCATAATGAAAGAAAACATGGCGCATAGATGGTATTTTTAGTGTGGTATTTTTTTTTGTTTTCTTTCGCATCAGCTCGCCTTCCCATCTTTCACGCCGAATAGCTATTTGTGACAACGGCCGGCTTAGATTGGGAAAGCACACGCCTTCAGGCAGTTTTCAAAACGCCGAATCGTTCGTGCGATGCCGGGTGTAAGTTCTGTTGCGGCGACGCGAGCACTGTGAAAGCGATCAAGGTGGGAAAAAAAAGGTGTGTTTGGGGTGGGTAGCTTCGGACGACTGTTGACGTGGAGACGGAACTTGCGCGGGACCTGTCCTTGTCGTGGCGACGGTGGTCAGAAGCACGATGAGCGTCCGCGGTAAAAATCCCGGTGCAAAAGTTCAGGCTCGTAACGACGACACTTATGCGGTATGCTGTATTCTTCGTCTTCTACCAGACGACGCATTTCTTAATTGGGTTCATGGGGCTGCCAGGTTTGCAGTGGTAGGCCTTCGCAAAGTCGGCGGAATTGGACACCACGCCGATCACCCTGCGTAAAGGAGAAGCGTACAGGGAAATCGTATATCATTGCAATACATGAACAGCATTCTTGCGGCACAGGAGAATGAACGGCTTACATAATTACCCATTTTTGTCAGTGAACTTGTCCTGTACGATCTGACTTAATATACCCCTACTCTTTCATATACCCTGCGTAGATTAACCGTTTGAATGAGTACGAATGGCCATGCCATAGCATAACAAATGCACTTGTCCTGTACGATCTGACCTAATATAACCCTATTCTTTCATATACCCTGTGTAGATTAACCGTTTGAATGAGTACGAATGGCCATGCTGTAGTATAAGAAATGCACATGTCCTATACTATCTCATTTAATATACCCCTATTCTTTCACACACCCTGCGTAGATTAACCGTTTGAATGAGTACGAATGGCCATGCTGTAGCATAAGAAATGTGATCACAAGCCACGAGTGGCGCAGTGGATTTGCAATGCGTGATTGCTAGTCTCGGCTGAAATCTTGAAGCCACAAAAAAGATGAAGTGAATTGTTGGCAGAGACCAATGTTAGACTAGCTTTTGTTTATTTTTATTTTGAACTATGCCCTCGGGACCTTTTAAAATTACAAAAGGGACTATGAATGCATCTCGACTCGGCATTTCGACACTGTATGAAGGGTTGGCCTAAACATTCTTGCCGAGTAATCTGAGATCAGTGAGCACGGATGGGCGTGGCACACCTGAAGCGGCCCGGGCTGTGGTTTCCCGTGCGGATGGTGTTGACGGCGTGCTCTGGCCTCGTGGTGCCGCACCAAATCTGGGCGTAAGTGAGGAAGAAGAGCTGGGCGTGCGTCAGGTTCAGGCCCGGCAAGTGAGGTTCGGGACCCCAGCGCTCCACGCTGCTCTTGTATGCCTGGACAGCGAGCAGAGCACGTTGCTTAGCGCGAGCGGTACTATACTTCTGAAGCGCAATGTTATAACTTTTCGGCGTTGTGATTAGCAGAGTGAGGGAGGGAAGGAGGAAGGGATTCATTTTTTTTCTTGAACAATTAAACACTGGAATAAGCTAACTGAAAAGCAAGTACATAGTGCGAATGAAGATGCATTTTATTCAATGCTGTTCACCCGTGCTGTAAGCTGAACGAAGATGTATTTATGTGTGAAAATAACTGTGTTATGTGTGTGAACAAAGGTGTATTTCGTACGGTGATCTATGTCATTCATTCATGTAACACCCCCCCCCCCCCCCCCGCTCTAACGCTTTCGGGGCCTGCAGGTATTTCATGAATAAAGAATAAAGATACGTCATAAGGAGATAGAAAGGTCAGCTGTCAACGTGTCGTGTTACTGAACTACACAGGGGAAGACGGGAAACTGAACAGTCATATGCCATAGCAGGAAAACAACAATTATAACCGTTCCTCAACTGCAGTGGGTACATTGTATGCTTAAACGAACGAACAGCTCTCCAAGTGTCAGCTGTATTTTTTTTCGGAATCACATTTTTTAAAGTCAAAATAGAGATACACATTTTTTTAGCTAAAGAGGGAGGTCTCAACTGATTTACTGCAATGAGACCGGCTGTTTCACTGGTTTAAAGTACAAACTTCCATGTGAGTATTTATCGTAATATCATACGAGCGACTAGTACTTATAATGGGTACCCTTGAACACGTTCGTGCCATATTACATGTCTGTTCAGGTGAGTAGATGTTTTGAAGACATGATACTCCGCTTTCCATTTCTCACATTTGGCTCCGGTACAGCTGAACTATTGTTCGCCACTTTATTGAAAGCCGTTGCATGTTTCGAACTACTTTTCGATGCAAAGCAGCCTAAGGCGGAGTTCAATCGTGCGTGGCTCCCCTTACAGCGCATGTGCAACAGCCGGTCCAAGCCTTGACAAAACGTGCTCACGCACTAGCGCGTACCGGCTTGTATAAAGGGCTAGTAACACTGTGTACTCTCCCCCTTACACTCTTTCAGCAATCATGTGATGGCGTTGGGGAAACGAGATTCTGCGGACGCGCGATGAACTAACGCGTTGTATCCTAGTCAGAGCGCTCTGGCAGGCACTAACTCATTCAGGACTGCGTAAGTGGTTGTGCAAGAGGCTGTGGCCTCTCCCCCTTACACTCTCTCAGCAATCACGTGATGGCGTCGGGGAAGGAGATTTTGCCGACGCGCGATGAATCCACGTGCTCCCGCGGGGCGTTCCGATAAACCTGCGTGGTATGCCCCAACAAGAGTTCGGGACGAGTAATAGCATGAGAAAGTACAGTGAATTCATGCTGTGCTCCACTTGCAAGGACGCGTTAACATCAGGCAAGGTGCCCGTGATGAACGGAGCTTTCAGTCAACCCATGCCATGCTTGGCATGCTTCTGATGGTTTTACTCTAGTGGGAGAAGGTGTAATTTTTCGAAAGTGTTGGTTCGATTCACGGCTTGGAACGAACATATCTGTGTTACGGCTTAATATCTTTATTTTCGTAACTACCTTAATTTCTTTTGTTCTTACATGAAAAACACCTTACACGAGAAGTTCAAGTTACACTTTTTTTGTGCTATAACTTAGCCTGCTGAATTTTCTAGCTGTACCTTTGAAAGTGAAATTACGTTATTGGATAACCCAATCTTGCTACCCGTTAAATTGAAGAGAGGAGAAAGACCGACGCTTACCTTGAACGCTTGCTTGACACCTCCATTGTCAGCGATGTTTTCCCCTTGGGTATTCACACCGTTGACCTGGACATAGCACCACAGAAGCGCAAGTCAGAGACTTTGATCACAACTGATCTCAGTGAGAGTTCGTGATATGTGCGAAATGGATGTAACAGAAAGCTTTCTAAGAAGTTCGCGTTTTAGCTTAGATCTACGCTCAGTTGCTTTCCAATTGTTCTCATTGCGATTAAAAGCATGTACGTACTTCTCAGCTTTCAACATGCTGCAAGGTACAAGTCAGCTGCACTCACAAGCAACACACTACAAGGGCAGACGTACGCACGTATAGTATTGTACACCCAGGATGTGGGATAGATGTTGCTGAAGAGGACTGATGTTAGAATGAAGAGAAGAGATTAAGAAAGGGGAACGCCACCAGGCTGCATTGTTTTCGCAGTCTTCGCACCGCTAGCACGTCAGCTCCCTGTAAATGTGCCTAAATAATTACTCGTCTTTGTGATGCAGAAAATTACGAGTGTATCTCGGATCTCTAATTCTAAGCACCTTTGCTCATTTGCGCACAAGTTTGTCTTCGGTGTCTTATATCTAGCTATCTTTCTTATAGACTCATGCGCTGAGCTATCTTTGTGTTTATGCTACCTGGATGTACTACTAAATGTTTTCTGGTGCACCTCGTGATTGCATTCTGCGCTGCATGTTGCATGGGATGACAAATGGCAGGCGTCATCTAAAGTAACCGCCCTTTCCTTCAAAACTTGTGTCACTGAGAAGGCGCTAAATGCGGACCAGGCTGTGTGGAGTATATCGTCTTGGCCCTTATTTGTGCGGTAATTATTTTTCATCACAGCATGACTGTCACGTCGTACCATTGACCAGAGCATTGACCAGTGCATCTTGACCGTTAGGACGAGATAGGGGTCTCAAATTCATCTCATGATAGCGGAGCGTAGTCATAGACTTGAGCCCCGCTAAAGCAAAGTCAGGGACGAATGTAAAAGCAGAAAGGGGGGGGGGGGGGGGGTGGTCGTACATATTGTCAGAAAGCCCTATACCATTGAAAAGAACCCATTTCCCATATCGGATATACGTGTCTTTTCTGAGCAAGATTTGGGGCCAGTATTGTATCCAACATATCAGTTCCGATATCCAAAAGGAGTATAAAATTTGGATGACAATTCTAAAGTACTCTAGTTTCACGACTATGCTTCAACACATGGTGACCGCAAGGGAGGCCTTATAAAAAAATGCTTTACACCAGTCATACCTATGTAGCTTACGAGCGTACTTACTGTACAAAAAATGTGGACGAACATGGCCATGCGCAAGCCACGAGACTGACCCTTGGCATAAAGCATTGCACAGAAAAAAAAAGACTACGTAATGAATTGCGGGTGGATCATCACTTACAGCCATGTTGACTTCAGGCAAAACGTATCGGCTGTACTGATCGATCATGCATTGCGCCTTGGAGTGAAACAACTTGAGCGCCTCAGGTTTCCACCACTGCTTCAGGTTGCCGTATTGGTCAAACTGACGCCCTGGAACAGTAAGACGAACGCTGTCGATCACAAAATTTTGGCTACAGAAACTATTTCCTGAAAATCGTCGACAAAAATGTTCTCGTAAGCCGTAATGCATAGCGAACCGAACTGAACGTATGCGATTTGAAGCCGATTCCGAAAAAACGACATGTCCAAGTGCTGTTGTTTAGTGTCTGGCATTCTTATGGTGTTTGAGGTGCATAAGCGAAGAATACAAAATACGACAAAAGTATTTTCGTTCTTCCAAAAAAAAAAAAACTAAATTGTGTACATACCCTTGTCGTCGAAGCCGTGGGTAATCTCGTGACCAATGACGACCCCGATGCCACCGTAATTGACGGACCTTGGAATAACAAGCGACATCAACAGCTAATTAACCAATTGACTGCATTGATGCACCGCACCTTGCTTCGCCGTTTTTCGCAGCCAATACAAAACCTCAATGACAGGGTCGCCCAGTTACATTTTGGCGCAACGACTCGCAAGCGATAATTCCTGAGGGTGTAGAAATTAAGAGCCTCTTAACTCCAAGCACAACTTTTAAGTATATGAGGTCATTGAGTGCGCATGTCCACAATATTTGAATGACTCGGAGTTCGCTTCTTTTATAGATGTATTCATTATAATACATACTACGCATCTATGTGTGACTCTTTTCAAAGTAAAAAAAAAAAAACAACTGTGCAATAAGCAGAGTTCAAATGCGAAGCATTTCTTTTCTTACTGCAACCTCTTTATCTATCTATCTATCTATCTATCTATCTATCTATCTATCTATCTATCTATCTATCTATCTATCTATCTATCTATCTATCTATCTATCTATCTATCTATCTATCTATCATTATAATACATACTACGCATCTATTTGTGACTCTTTTCAAAGTAAAGAAACAACAACTGTGCAATAAGGAGAGTTCAAATGTGAAGCATTTCTTTTCTTACTGCAACCACTTTATCTATCTATCTATCTATCTATCTATCTATCTATCTATCTATCTATCTATCTATCTTCTATCTATCTATCTATCTATCTATCTATCTATCTATCTATCTATCTATCTATCTATCTATCTATCTATCTATTATCTATCTATCTATCTATCTATCTATCTATCTATCTATCTATCTATCTATCTATCTATCTATCTATCTATCTATCTTCTATCTATCTATCTATCTATCTATCTATCTATCTATCTATCTATCTATATCTATCTATCTATCTACTATCTATCTATCTATTATCTATGCGATCACACCCTTAACTTGGAGTGAACAAAAATTAGCATGGGAGGGTAAGATGGTTTGTCGAATATGTCTCGCTGGCATTGAGGCGAATAATGTGACAGTGCCGTCGCATACGTCGTCAAACTCTTTCCGCCGTACACGTGTGGTACATACCTATATACCAATGGCGGGTATGATGCCACAGGTATGCGGGTATGTGCCACAGGTGATTGACAGTTTGTCTACCCAGGAACGGCGAGGACAGGCATGTCGGTAATTTTAACGCAAGAGCGTTGAGAAAAAATTATACATCGGCAGCGTTGACCCGATGAATGCAAGGAATAAATGTTAAGGGGCCAGCAGAAATAGAACCACAGCATTCTGCGGGCAATCTAGAGTTCTATCAGAGTCACGCCAGCTCTCTGAACTGCTGTGGAAAGAGACCGTATGTCGGCTTAATGTTCGTGAAACGTCAACGGGGGTTCCAGTGCTCGCTATCCAATTTTATGAACATAACATGTGTACACCTATGATACAGGCGTCGTGTCGGGTTAGCACTAAGTTTAATTGAGTGCCATACACTGAAGTTGATTTATGTAACACTGTCTAGGGCTACCATCCTCGCAAGCACAGGCGCTACATATCAGATTACTGCTTCTGATGCAAACACTCGTGTTGATGTTGGCATCGTTACGCTAGTGTAAACTGGTTATATAAATTATATGCGACTGTTGAACATATGTATGTGAGTACAATATTTAAACATATATTTAGCATCATTTCCTAGCGTTTCCTTACTTACAACACAGTCAACTTAACTTCGCATGATTCGCATAACGTCGATTTTCAAGGTACGTGGAATCTGCAGAATTTTTTTTTCAATTCCTTGTGTTTTCGGAACACCACACGGAATGTGAATTCGACAGCTTCTTTCCCTGATTGGTTGCGCAAATACAAAAATATAGAACATGTAAAACGTGCACTATAACGCTATTGTAATATTCATCGTGAGCTTTTACGAGGGCTACAAGAACTAAAGAGTATCGGCGCTCGTACTTGGGATAATGGTGGTGGTATAGAGGCGGCTGAAGAACTCCAGCTGGAAAACCTGCACGAAAGCAAGCCAAAATAAACAATACACTTGAATGACGCAGCTGTTGTCACAGATCGACCCTCAAAAGATTAAGAAGCTTACTGATGAAATTCTTTGATCTCGTGTAGAAGGCGTTGACGACTGCGGGGTAGGTGACCCATCTATATACACAGGAAAAAGAGCAAAAAAAATCAGCCGAAAGAATCCAGAAAGTCAACATGCGCAAAAGTATGGACGTCCTGATTGCGTAACCATTAAAATGATTATTGAAGATAGCGAAAAAGTAGCTTCTGAACTGACATGCGTTTCAAGTTTCATATTTTGACATGTGTTTCAAAATGTGTTTGCTTGTATAGGTGTCACTTTTATTTAGTAATATCTCGATGCATCGCCACTTCGTTCGTACAATTCCAACGTACTTACTCGTTTTTGTCCACGCTGTTCCTAAGCTTCGTTGCTATCTTCAGTGCAGTGTGGCGAAGGCTCTTGATGATATTCTCGAAGTACGTGTCCGGTCTGAACTCTACCTGAGACAATAACGTCTTCGTCAGACAACTATTCTTGTCTTATTTTTTTTAAGGTGTGGTGACGCGTTGAATTTGAATTGGAAGTGTGTAAATATACGCTTTTGTCAGATTTGCTTGATTTTAAGTAGTAATCGAATAAAATGCAAAAATTACTGGGGCTAGAAATGAAAATCTTAGTTACAAACTATAAAGCCAACAAATGATTTGTTCTATCATTCATCGCTACACAGTGTTAGGGCAGTGTAAAGTAAGGCAGTTACTAAACAACCACAACACACGATTTGTTGAGTATTTTGTGCGTGAATGAAACAAAAAAAAAATATCAGTGTGTCGAGCGTAAGGCACTCGTTTATTAAAGTGCTTACCTCGTATTCCTTGTCCAGTTCTTCTGGTGTCGATATGAACTCAGGGTATCCTATCTTCTGAGTCATGAACTCGGCCTATAATGTACACGCAATGACATCAGCATGCAATACGAGTTTCTAGATTTGTAAACCCTGTCCGCATATTATATATGGTTATAAATATTTACTTGTACTATATCAAGGTTTTTTTATAGCCCAACATTGACATCTTCATAACGTCTCCCGAAGAGCTATATGCTCTGAACGTATGCGATACTTTTTCTGCAAGCTGACTGGGCTGCATCGCTGCATTGTAGCATATCCTTTCAAGAATGCGCGTTGGAAAATATCTCAAGGCGCAAGTTTAAAAAAAATGAAACAACTAAAGAAAAAAAACTAACCTTTTTTCTGGCGACTTCTCTGGTCTCATTGTCCATCCAGTCCACGTTCGTGAGAATTTCCAAGAAGGCTGCCTTGATGTCGCTGATCATTTCCTCGGCCTAGAGTTAGTCGTAAGGAGGCGTGCAAAGTAAGCGCACAATTACCGAAAACGTAGGCAATGTTATCTGATAACACCTCAAGAAATCCACGAGTCTTTACCTTGCGCAATAACTGCGATTCTTGCAGCGAGAGCCGGCTATAATAATTGAGGCCCTGTGAAGTGCGGTGCCATAGACCTAGCTGGGCGAGCTGGTTTATGGTCCCGTAGCGCAGATGAATATCAGACCGGGCCGTCAGGGATGTATGGCATTTAGGTCCCATCATAGGTGTGCGCAAGTTTCTGCTTCAGGATGAAGGAACGGGGTGATTGTTCGTCGCAGCACCCCCCCCCCCCCCCTCCCATCTTCCTATAAGGCCAATTTATGAGGCAGACTTCACGCTCCCCCTCCGATGTACCTAGGGAAGAAGGGGGGTCGATACTCCTGCCCCCCCCCCCTCCACCATCCGTGCGCACGCATACGAGTCCCACCTTATATTTTCTGTGTAGCTTTTATAAGTTTTAATTGTGCAAAATGAACAAGGTCAGTCCTCCACATTAAAATATAGACTTAATAATGAATACTGCGTCGGGGTGACTTGGGCAAAGAACGAAGGATCCGGTTCACTGGCGCACCTTCTTTTTGCTCTGCTCATTGAAGTGTCGGCGCACGAACAGTGCTCCGACGGCCATGCCCATCTTCTTGTTGACGAGAAGCGTGCAGCTCTTCCAACGCGGAGGAGTCGACTGGGTGCCGTAGATGGCGCCGTAGTACTCCTGCTGCTTGTCCACAAACCTCTTGTCAAGGCTGCCCACCAGCTTCGATATGAAGCGCCAGAGGATGTAGTTGGCCACGACCCTGGAAGCACATTGCACCAAACTACTTAGCATAGGCTGGGTTCATCGTGAACTAAGATTAGTCAAACGTAAAGATAACTTTGATTGAGTCTGTTCTTTTTGGTATCACGCATCGTTCGTTGCTGAATATTCCCGATATGAACGTGTGCTGAGGGCTGCTAAGCTACCTTGAGGTAGATTCACTCTGAAAATTGGTGTGAAATCACGCGGGAAATTGGTAGAGAATACGCAGCGATGCATTCTCGGTGCGATGTAGCTTGAAATCGATACAATCAGTGACATTGGGCATATCAAAGGATGAATAAATAAAAAAAGTGGAATAATTTTACTATTCCCTTTTTCATAACGTAGTACAGTGCTGTAAGGGATATTTGAAATTGGAGTGGAAAAACAACGGCCACAAAAAGGTGATGACGTGACACATGGTTTGACCGATTGACCAACGGCCCAACATCTTACCGCGCTGCATGTAACAGCTTCAATATTCATTGCATTGCATTTCGTATACCATTTATTGTTTACATGCCAAATGGTGCTTATGCGAAAGTTCAGCTGTGAACTTCATCGTTCTTGGCTTAGCGGAAGTAGTTCTTAAACTCCCCCTGTCCATGGCACGTCGGAAAAGAAGCAAAGATGTGTTAGGCCACTGCGCTCAGTACTCAATACTTAATACCGCTACTCGCCTTGCTCACATTTTCGTTTAAGTGAATAGGCTCAAACCACTCGTTCAACAAGCCTATAAGTAAGCATATCACGCTGAAACATTGTACGTGGATCAAAAAGTAAAGAAACCAATGCGTGACAATGCTTCTTTCAGCCACACAAGCCCGCTCGTACACTTCACCGCCACGCCCGCAGTGCGCGAAGATACCACGTGGTGGCGCCAGTTGCCCGCTGAACCAGTTCGTGCTCTTCACTGGGACGCGCGCTTCATACGTAGCGAAGCATACTCGCAGAGGGATGCGGGATCATGCTTATTTATTTATTTGTTTTTTTACTTGAACGTATGAGCAGGCACACATCAAGGTAATTAGTTCACTATTGCGTTGATTGAAAAGCTTTTTGCTTCTGATATCGCCGCTGTTCATCAACGCGATAGATCCAAATGCATTAGTCTTGTCTAAGGAAGTCATTCATGCGTGGTTGTATGGGCAAACCAGACAAGAAAAAAGAAGAAGAATAAAAAGAAGAAGTAGAAGATAGAGGACTGTATTTGTCCTGCTGGCGTCTGCCATTCTTCATGGACAGGACACAGTTATCCAATTCTTCATGTACTTTAACAGCGCTCAGATTCTACGTGTACTTTTGCTCAGACTGCATGCTAACTTTAGAGAGCGAACTTGACGGTATAATATAACGGAAATTTTGTTGGCCTAAGTGCTCTCAGCAATTCAATCTCACAGTATATCACACAGTTAGAGCAGTAACATTATAAAGCATGTTTTGTGCATTTGTAGTGTGCAGGGTGTTCATCCCTCCTTCCTCTGTCTGACGTTGAGCTTTTGGTTATTTTTGTATTTTCCGATTCTTTCTCTTTCCTCGTGTAGTGTTTCTTTTTACATTCGTACGATTGTCTCGATACATTTTTTGTTATAATGGTCTCTTCATCCACAGAACTTCAAGGACTGTCCTATTAAATCAACAAGGAAACAAACGTATGCACTACATACACGCAGTTTTGCTCAGTATGTATGTATGTATGTATGTATGTATGTATGTATGTATGTATGTATGTATGTATGTATGTATGTATGTATGTATGTATGTATGTATGTATGTATGTATGTATGTATGTATGTATGTATGTATGTATGTATGTATGTATGTATGTATGTATGTATGTATGTATGTATGTATGTATGTATGTATGTATGTATGTATGTATGTAGGTATGTATGTGCGATTAAACTACTTAGATTGATTTTGAAGATTTCTAAGCGACTATTTCGGGGCTCATAGCAGCGTAGCTCTCCACCCATGCATTCTTTACCATAAGTTTGCTGCTGACAAATAGTGCGGTTTGTCAATCGCAGTGTGTGTCAAAGAGCCAACATTTGAATTAAAAGGTAATTAGTGCACTTTCGTGGCATTAGACAACCGAGTACCATCTATCGTACAAGTAATGCTCGCTTCTTCAAATAATACAAATGAATAGAAAACAGTTAGACAGTGAGCTACAGAGTCAAATAAACAAAGTGACAATTTGCTTAGGTGGCGTTAGCCGACTTGTTGGCCGTACGTGATCTCGAGAACACTGGCAGAAAATTTTAGAAAACGTGGATAGAGAAACGTGGAAACACACAACACAGGCGCTCATGTTTTGTGTATCCTCTGTAGTTTGTCCATGTTTTCTAACTAATTGCGGCAGTGCTCTCCAGAGTGATGTGAGAATATTTTGAATAAGAATACTCCACATAAATTCGATGTAAGGGACATACTTATTCTGTGGTCTCAGGTGGTTTGGAGCATGCCAGCGAGTCGACAGTCTTGGTCACAGCGTGTCGAGTTTCTCGCCGCCCAACTATTCATGCTACTCCACGTTACTAAAATTGATACATGTATCACACGCAGCGTCACGGTTCAGTGAAGCGAAAATCGGGCCACACCGAGACGAAAATATGAGAAATATTTCCTCTCGAGCTCTTTCGTATTCACCATTCGCATGAGCCACTGCATATGGGGGCGTTTTGTATTTTTTTTTACTGACAGATTTCGACAACTTACCTTTTGGGAGTGGAATGTAGAAGGTGAGACATCTGCTTGATGTACCTCGGTGCGTAGATGACCACTTCTTCCGTAGGCGGTATCTCCATGGGCATGACAACTTTGAAGTAGTGCGTCCAGTTTATCTTGCGGGCGGGCACACAATAAAGTTTAGAGAAATGATCCCACTTAACAAAACCTCGCGCTTGCTCGTGTTACGATGTTATCAATATGTAAATAATGCTCGTTAATAACGAGTGAATAATGCTCGTATATAGTGTGAATAATGTTTCTGTACAATCATAGTAGAATAGTTTTATAAAATAATGGTGACAAAATTTTTGGCACAAATTATATTCATGCGAGAGGTGACAAAGAAAGCGTTTCCAAAACAGAATAAGACGCGGTGCAGTCTGGTTCGTAGTTAGGAAATTTGTTCGTGAGGGGGGGGGGGGGACTTATTGAAGGCCTTTAAAATGCTTACTTTCATCATTTTTCTTCAGTAAAATACCCCCCCCCCCCCCCAACCAAACTTCGCGTGGGCGGAGGAGGGCATGGGTCCATAGGGCACCCCCCATCCCCCCTGACAACAGGCCTGAGTGCAGTATGGTTTACATTTAAAAGGTGCATATTGCACAGGGATTGGCGAATACGTTTAGAAAGTGTAATTATTTGATTAAAACTGCTAATTATTTTCCTAGATAGCCTAAGTTCACTGCACCTCTTGTGAATGACATCGCGGTATGCCTTCTCCTTGACACCTGAAAGCATTCACAATCTAAAGCACTGGCTTGATGCTTCAATCCTTTAAATAGCTTGATTACTGCATTGTGGCGGTTAGGGTGTAGGAGCTTCTCTGTTTTCCTGCGACACTGGTTGTCGGGCATATCCGGTGCGTAAGATGTGAACTGAAATGCTGTATAACCAGCAAAGTTGTGACCGATACCAACCAGAGGGATCTTCAGCCTGTAGCTCCTCTACGGTCCACTTGTTGTACATGGCGGTGAAGTTCCGCCGAAACTCGCTCGGTTCCGTCAGCTGCGAATGAAGAACGAAGAAGAAATCCGAACGAAGCTACGAGCTACGACTGAAATTCGCGGCAGTCACTGATTCGAATTAACTTTCTTCGAAGCTTAACAATGATCGAAGACAAGTTTGGCATTCAGTACAGGTGGAGTGAAGACAAGATTCACTTATTCAAACGGCAGGGCTTCGCTTGAGCTTTCCGGTCAACCAGAGCCATCCCATCATCGTTTACCGACCTGTGTCCAATACGCTGACTGATTGTCGTCGCTTAGTATGTGAGACAGTATAAAAAATATGGCAGCTGATGAGTCATGTTTACTGAAAATTGTAGTTAAAAGCGCTATAAAGCTAATGAAGAAATACAAGAAATAAGTCAGGTGACAAAAGAAAAAAAAATGAAACAGTCAAAACAAAATTATGTAAAAACTATACCATACATTGTAATGGGCTATCGTCACGATAGACTAGTCGTGGCGTGATTTTGTCGGTAAATATTATGCCACGTGCTATGACACTACTCTTACAAAGCAATCAGAATCGAGTAAAAAAAGGGGGGGGGGCGAGTAGGGGGGGAGAGATGAGTTGGGCTTTTTTGTTTAAGTATGACAGGATTAGTAATTTAGGTTAGAAAAGTAGGTACACGAAAGTACCAATCGCAGGGACCAACAATAAATAGAGCTGTAGACTCTCGGACTCCGTAACCAGCTACACGTGATGTTGATGGCTAAATTATTGGGCCGCACCTGGCAACTTGAAAGCAACAACCGCGCTCACACAGTGCGTTACAGGTAAATGTTGCACTTATCTGGAGCCGCCGTTAGTAAATAGTCATCCTACTACAGAGCTATTTGGTTACCGGGTTCGAAAGTTAAATGTGCTTTCAAAAACTAATGCCCCCTTTAGTAGCATACTTCTCCGTTATTGCCTTTTCTGGCCTGCGCTAAAGGGAGCAAAGAGTAACGACAGTAGAACGAAAGGCAAGAGCTTTATTCACATTACCGTAGGAGAGATGAGGTGAAAGAACGAAGGTCACGGAAAAAAAAGCAAAACTGGAGCGCACGTGGCTACACTGTCGAGAGGTGAGTGTCATGACGATAGATGTCCTCATTCTGTTTCGTCAATCGCTTGTTTCGTCATGACATTTAATTCACAGTCTGTATTATAGAGAGGGGTTAGAAGGAGTGTTAAACCTTACTCGGAAAGACTCGGAAACCACTGAGAACCGCTCTGCGGTAGAAGAAAAATGTTATGAAACCATTGAACTAGCGGTGAAAGCCCGAAGGGCAGAGTTGGATTATTTTCCTTGTTTTTTTTTATTTTTTTGTTCTTATTGTTTCTCTTTCTTTTGGTTTATTGCATCTGTTGCTGTACCTGTTGCTTTCGCTCCATTTCTTTCTATTTATTTCTTTTATCTCTATTTTGTTTCTCATTCTCACTCTTTTTTTATTTCTCTTTCTTCCCTTTTCTCTTTTTCTGTTTTTCTTTGTGTCGCTTCCTTTCTCTTTTCCTTTCTCTTTCTGTATTTCTCCCTGTGTTTTTTTTTTCAATCTTTTCTCGCGTCTGCTTATTTCTCTCTTTTCCTCCCTCTCTTTCTATCTCTTTCTTTTGCTTCTTTCGCTTTCTTCATTTGCTTTTGTTTAATCCTCTTTCGGTATTGCTCTTTGTATTTTCTATCTCTTTCTCGTGTGTTTGTTTCTTTAATTTTGCCTTTCTTCCTAAGACTTTCACTCTGTTTCTATGTTTTGTATCCCTTTTATTGCTCGATATTTTCTCTTTCTCTTTTTGATTTATCTTTCTCTCTAACATCTTTCACCTGCTTCACAGCGCCGAGCAGAGTTTTTTTTTTTTTTAACAGTCGCAGCGGCTGTACTCGGTTGGGGTTACGCCTGCGTGTTCCTGTGGATTCTTGAGGACAACAAAGTTTTTACGACCGGCGTTAACAGGTGCACTGGTTAAAAAAAGTAACCTCATAACTACATAAAAAACAGTAAACACGTTAAATTCTGACGTGCGATCTGGCGTTCTTTGAAAAAAAAAAAAAAACAGTCATTCCCCGTCGTTGAAACGAAACTCGAGTGTCGCGCCATTCAGAAGCACGGTTCGTACATGACTGCTTTTACGAGCCTTACACGCTCCCACCGGGGCACGCCTCTCGTCAGGAACAAGAGGCGTTTTCCGTGTAAACTACAGTGATATTTTATATATACTCTAGCAAGCTGTACGTTATGTGGTCAATCAATGTGGGTTGCTGTACGCAGATATCAATATCAAAAGAAATGAAGTTGGTGCTGCAGCAAAAGTTGTTTTGTTCACGAAGCGTAGGCGCCATTTTTTTTTTTTTGCGCCCACACTCACAGAGAGGTCTGGGCGTAGTGGCGAACTCGAGGAGTGGAAGCCTCCAGGAGTTCATGATGATGCAACCGCGATTCAACTTCACTCGTTTTCATAGCGACATCATTTCTTTTGACAAATACCGCAGCAGCGGGAACCATCATGTTTCCGAAAGTTAACTAGAGAAGACTGTGGCGCTGCGATTTTTCAGCGACCGTGGGAATGATGGGTATAGTACGTGGATTGGTCCAGTCTTCGCGCTTGCGGGCTTCCAACGCTTTTGTTGCTTTGTTTATCCCCGTGTTTTGGTTTTGTTTGGAATAAAAGGACGAACCGTATCGAACTTCGTGACCTGATTTGAAGTGGTGAGGCCGAAAGGTTAGGTGGTGAAGCATAAAACTTGACCTTTGCTGATTGTCGTCACGTGACAAAGCAGCTCCAAGCCACGCGAAGCCAAATGGAGCTGAAAGTATGAAGATAAGACAAATTTCAGAGTTCGCTTTAGTGTACTTAGAGGAAACTCTAAGGCGGGTACAGCCTTCATCGTTATCATTATCATCATCTTGACTACGCCCAATGCAAGATAAAGGCCTCTACCATGATCCGCCAATCAACCCGGTCTTGCGCTTTCTGCTGCCACGTTATACCTGTGAACTTTTTAATCTTTATCGGCCCAACTAACTTTCTGTCTCCCTTTCGTGCGTTTGCTTTCGTAGCGCGTAGGGTGCAGCCTTACCCTGCGATAATTGAAGACGAGTACTTCGAGCAGGAGCGATCAATCTGCTGACTCACGTTGGTGAGCTTGGCTTCAAGCATGAGGGCGTCCTCCATGTCGCGCATGGCCGTCGTCTCGTTAGCTCCCAGCAATTGTGCCACGGAGACCATGAACCGCAGGTAGGCCTCCACCTGCTGCGTCCCGCGAATGTAGTAGTCGCGGCTCGGAAGACCCGTTTCGGTCTGATCCAGCTGCGCGCCAAACAAGGAAGATTGCGGGCCAATTACCGTGGCTATAGACGTAGACCGAACCGGAAAAGTATGTGTGCGTGGTGCCGATTCACTGAAAACTACTATAGCTATATTTGTCTCTGTGTACGACGTATATGTTCGCTAATAATACTGTTACCCCGAATAATACTGCTACTTCTCCCTCTAATGCTAGCGCAGAGATAACCTGGCCCTTTGTACGTCAGACTTAGTAAGGAACTGTAAGCGAATGGAAGGTGACTGCTAGCTCTTTTGAAACCCTAGTTAAATTTAACTAATAACACAACCCAGAAATAATATTCCAGACATGCGTGCACGAAATAGGAACTTCTGTGTAATGTAAGGCTGGTTAATTGGGCTAACGGGACCATCAGCTAAAAAATGAACGTGCCAAGGATACTAACATCAATAACGATATACGTAACAAATTACGGGCTCTCCGTAACACCCACCGGCTTTATATTAGCTACTGATAAAGTTCTTTGACCTTTGTTGCCAAGTGCATAAGCATCCCTACTGAGAGAGCTCTCATCCGAAACCATTCCCCAAATTGATACGCGTTCAATGCCATGACAGAAAACAACGAAAGTGTTACTGGGGTATTTAAAGGCAACATACATGCTCGACCATCTGTACACTTATGGACTCCCCCAAGCGAGTTGTTGGGGATTCTGTCTGTGCCTCTCTCTTTTTTTTCTGTATCTCTTTTCGCCCCTTTATCCCTTCCCACAACGCAGAGTAGCAAACCGGACGTGCGCCTGTTTAACCTCCTTGCTTTTCCTTGTTTCTCTCTCTCTCTCTCTCTCTCTCTCAGATTTCTCTTTGTTCTCCGGCACCAGTGAAACTCTCTTCTCACAATGCTACTTCATAATAGATTATTAGATGATTGTGCAATGTACTGCTGAACGAGTGGTATGAAAAACTGCAAGACGGAAAGTAGAGCTAGAGTGCTCGAGGGATAAGGGTCCTGCGAATGATAGGGATTATAGAGAGTAAACGAAAGGCGCGTTTATGCGTCATCCTTACGTGTATGACGTTGACGGTCGAGTTCTTGCTGTCCGCCGAAACCCACTGCGCGAAGAGGATGTCGTTGCTGTGTCTGCGCATGATGGCGGTCAGGTTGAGCCAGTCGAAGCCCTCCTCCGTCCAGTCGGGCGTAATGACGGGCCACGAGCCCACGCTCTGCAGCAGATCTAGCAGCGGCTTCTCTCGGAGCGCCTCGATCATGGCTGCGCGAGGAGGCACGCACGAAGCTGCAGCTCCAAACGGTGGGATTGAGCGCTAAATTTCTGGTCTCATTGTGGAGACGTTAAGTTTTGCGCCCCGAAGCACATCATTTTATATACCTTACTTACAGGCATGTAAAACAACGAATCACGACGATAAATTCAGTGACTTGATGATGTGTGAGACAATGCACTAGAAATGTCGTCATCTTTGGCACTGATTATACTGATTTATACACTGCTTATACTATACTGAATGTTTGATACGCAAACGTGGGCAAGTATAGGACGTAATAAAGGTAATAACAGTGCAGCAGACGAACGCTGGCGAAGAACACATACCAAGTGCTGCACGTTAATAGCAAAGCGAAGACCACGTATATATGGTATGGAGACATGCGTAGAAGAGGGTGCAATTATCAACCACAGCGATGAATATAAAATAACCAATCACTTGTCACGTGCTGATTGTTCACGAGCACAGTATACAGGATAAATCTGTTAAGATGCGTGATCTCGTTTCGCAATAGCACAACTGATGGTAAACTTACACGCAAGCTATCGAAAATACTGATGTGATCTCTCGCGTTCACTGCGAGTGGTACTTACCTACAGTAGCTCGCTACGCTCAAAGAGGGGCACGCAGCCGCAGTCATGGCAGTGAATTCCTAGGTTACCCTGAACTTAATAACGCGACAGCGTTAAAGAGCTCGTGTCGCAGAAAATCCGCCGCCGGCGTCGGCCCCGTTGGTTGTGAGCGAAAAATCGTCTGTGCGTCTGTGACCGAAAAATTAAGTTACCGGGATAGCCGCGGGAGGCCGCTACTTGTCCACGCGTGCGTGCGCGATCACACCGAGAAAGCCGCGCTTTCGAAGAAAAAAAGCACTCAAGGTCACGAGGCGCTGTAGTTTCTTTGCCCTGCCATCCCTCCCTGCTTAGCTTCCAGCGCTTTCGTCGGGACGAGAGAAGAGATAATGTAATTGCTGCAAATCTTTGTAACTCCACTCGCACTGAACGAATTCTTAAAATTTTTTGCGGCGTTGAATTTGTGAGGCAATAAGCCCTTCTGGGGAATTCATTCCATGGTTACTTGAAAAAAGTGTTTCAGGGGCCCTTTAACGCATTTTGTTCGACAGGTGTCATGACGAAAACGAGCCCATTTTGGCGATAATAGCGCGCGCTGGTCTAGTCTACTGAGTGCGTGTTTGAGTGCGTGCGTGTGTGTGTAACAAAACATATGAATAAGTATGCACTTAGCGGTTGAAGGGTGCACTAGGGGCCGGATTTCGCTATCGCGTTCAAACTCTTAAAGGCGAACCTTAACGGTCCACCGATTTTTCGTCCACTCTGTTGGGACGCTATCTTAGACTATCGGTGTGGGCGTTCTTTCACAGTCCTTATCTGTTACGCCGCTCTTACATTTATTACACTGGAAAACATCGAGATAGGTTTTCTAATGATATACGCATGTTTGTGCAAGGTACAGCCAGCAGTCTGTCAGCCAGTGTGTCAATCACGACTTGAGTTCAACTGGACTGGGAGGGGAAGTGATCCACATCCCCGCACGTGATTTACATATAATACGTGGTGCGTAGAACTTCCCAATTATGGTAAAAGAAAATCGAGCATCTTTAAGACCTATTCGAAGAGGGCGTGGAGAGCCAAACCTGTAGAAGCCGCGAGTAATGCGGAAGGAACATGTATCGTATCATTGGCTCGATGTATATAGCGCGTGTCAGTGTATGCTACACGTGTTGCTGCCCGGGTGGTCGCGCTCGCAAATATAAAATAAACAAAACAAAAGTAATAGAAATAGTTACCGAGGCGTCATGGGTGCCGTTATGAAAACGAGGAAAGTAACGCGCACCGTAATAACGGGAATGGTTAAGAAGAGTTTCCGGGTGTTTTTTGACTAAACGCGTCTCGCCCAACAGAACTCTGAGAAAAACAACACCAAGAAAAAAAAAGAACCTATTTGCAGTATCTTTGATCGCTAGAGCTCCATTAACTTTGTCCAATGGTCACAGTTCGTTCAACTCCGCAATGTGTGGACTTCGCCGCTGGTGTAGTGTTCACTCCACTGTACTGTCAAAAGCGGCCCGCTCTAAGGAAGCTCCAAGAAAAGCTTGGCCAATCGCTTCCTCATGTACGCTTAATTAATCCTTAACCACCAGGAACCAAGAGACGGCGGCAGCGCGCACCGCAGATGCAGCTTCTCTAAGCCTTTGGTCGTCAGCTCGAAAGGGAAGGGTGCATGCATGGTACGTTTGCTATACACATGCTTTTCAAATGCAAGCATGCAGCATGTCCACACTTTGTTTTTAACACCTATATAGCGTTTATTTAATGTGGTATTATACAGCGTATCATGCAGCAAGTGTAACTGTTTTGATTAATGTAGTAAGCTGACGTCATTCTACGATGTACGATCTGGCAATTACGTCTCAAGTGAGGGATATGAACGAAACTAAATTCACGTGTACATGGTTTTGGTATAGTCGACGTGAGTGACAATCTCGAGCTGTACGTGACCGTAGGATAGCAACAATTATTTGCTTTGGGCGAGTCGGCCCATGTTGCGACTGGCTTAAAAACTCGCGAGAAAATAAAATCGATAACGGGGCCGACCCAGCCGTTACAACTCAGCCATAGATTCACAATGCCCAGACTGCTCAGAAGTGTACTGTTAACTCGAACACATGCTCTGGCAACGTCCCGCGTTAGCTCGAGGACCCCTCACCAGTGAGTCCGACTGGGAGGAGGCACTCAGGAGCCCCAGTCTCAGAAGCCAACTTAAGGCAGTCCAGAGGGCCCAAAAACTGGCGGAACGTCACCACGTTCGCACCCCTGGCTCGGGCATTGCCTACAGTAGCGGCTGCTAGAATGTCCCTCGTGGACTCCCTAGTCGCTTAAACTCTTCAGGACCATTTAATAAAGTTCTTGACAGACTGACTGAAGATGCGCAATGAACCACAGTACGGTGTTTAACGGTGCACGGTAGATATGTTCCAATTGCGTGGCTACGATCGCGACACTGGCGCTGCCGTGTCAACGGCACAAGATCTCAATAGAAATAAAGCGTCATTATAGGCGTGTGCGCGGGAAAAGTAGGGAACTGGGTGGAGGGGGACCGCCCTTCCACAATCATTTACGGAGGGGCGGAAGGGGAAGGGGGGATGGCGCCAGGCCTACCCAATACCTTGATTCAATTAGACCTGTCCCGTCAAGGGTTCATGCTCGGAGCCGTGGCCGTGCAGGTTTTATCAGCGCAGGCGTTCAGCAAATCGTTGATCGTGCGACGAACCAGAAAATTATCATACATGGGTATGTGCCACAGAATTTGGTCAAGTCCCACTACTCACCACTGGCCCACTAGAGATGAAAAAAGACACCTGTTACCCCTAGAACTGTTTGTTTGTTTGTCTGTTTGTTTCAAATTACGGCTCATACCCACTCAGGAAGATTGGCCAAAAAAGCGTAGAGTCCCCCTCCCCCTTTTTTTTCTGAGCTTTACAACTGTTTTTAAGAATGAATATATATTAAAATATAACTAATGAAAGAAAAATCACAGAGAGAGAAATGGGGAAAGAAATGACTGCACACTCTTTTTTTTTCCTTGTTCATCTTCTGCTTGGCTCTCGGAACGTTTACGCCAATTTACCCGACGTGGGATGCTTAATAACTCGGATAGGCAAAGGAAAGAGTGCAAAGACAGAAGAAGAAAGAATGAAATATAGAGAAAGAAAAAGAAAGGAGAACTAAAGAAAATCAAAACATAAAAGTACGGAAAACATCGAAAGAAATAGGCAGAGGGAGAAAGAAATGGAAGGAAAGAGACGAAAAAAAGAGAAAGAAAAACTGAAAACAAGACAGAGACAGAGAGATATACAGAAAAGATAGAAAGAAAGCATAGTCGAGGAATACACACACACACAGAAAGAGAGAGAGAGAGAGACAAAGAATTAGGTGTTGAGACAAAGAAAGACACAAAAAGAAGCAGTGATGGAAAAAACAGAGAAATAGAAAGAAATAATAAAAAGAAAGAAAAAAAGGCAGATCCCACGTACAGTAGGAATCGATGATATGCGACGCATAAAGGAGAAACGTTGATATGTCACTTTAAAATCAGCACAACGTTATGAGGTGGAGGTAAATGATGCCGTACATGACTTCTGTGCCATGATTATTACGTTTGGATGAGTTGTTTACCTTCGTTATCCATTCACGTCACGTGATACCAAATTTAGTATATGTGGAGCTAGCGAAACTGCACGAGCATACTATGAGCGTGGCATGTTGTCATGTTGTCACATGACACGCGTGTCAGGATTATCATGTTTGCCCCAGTCATATATATCGTCATCCATTGACGTCACGTAACACCTAATTTGGTATATGCGGAGCCAGCAAAACGGCCTCGAGTGCATCATGAAAGACCCAATATACTCCAATGATGCGTTGACGCGCGCGCACGCTGACCATTGCGACGCAACGTTAGGAAAACGCGAGCACTCCATAGTCTGACGCCAGGTGCGACCATCGTCTGTCGGCGCGGCCCGACGACAACTGGCACGAAATGCAACATGCTGCATTTCGCGCCGATGCGCTCCCTCTATTCGTCACGGAGGGACGCTGGACGCGCTGAAACGCGCATGCGTCAAAGCAACGCAGCGCGGCGCACGCCTGTTAGTATATGGCAGGGCCGGCGCCTGGCGTGGCAACGCCGGCGTGACGCGACGAAATGAACGCCGGTGAGCCCGCGCTCATTGCGACGCGTCATGCCGGCGAGCACGCGCACCACATCACGTCGAAATCTATTGGCGCCTTGACTGTGGCATCTAATCATGTTCTCACATGACACAAATTTCATGATTATCATGTTTGCACCAGTCACATACCTTGGTCATCCATTGATGTCCTGTAATACCAAATTTGCCTTTTGTGAATCTAGCGAAACGGCCGTGAGCGAATCACGAGTGTGGCATGTAGTCAGGTTGTTACATGAAACGCATGTCGTGATTATCATGTTTGGATGTGTCATTTACCTATGTCCGTTCGCGTCGCGTAATGCCGTGTTTGGTACATGTGAAGCAAGCGAAACAGCCGCGAGCGCATTATGAGCGCAGCATGTAGTCATGTTGTTACATGACACGCATCTCATGTTTATGATGTTTGCACCAGTATCATACCTTCGTCATTCATTCACGTCCCGTAATACCAATTTTGGTATATGTGACGCTAGCGAAACGGCTGAGAGCGCATCATGAGCGTACCATGTAGTCTTGTTATTACATGGCACGCATGTCATGATTTTCACGTTAGAGTCTGTCACTTGTATTCGCCATGCAATCATGCCATACCATGCCAGTTTTGCAACATGCCATGTGAACGAAACCACTGCAAAAGCTGCAGGACCATAAAATGTAAATCATGACATTCATGATATAAATGTCATATTTTCATGTTATGACCAGTCAAATATGTTCTTCATACAGTCATGTTATGCCATTTCAAGTTTGGTATCGATACCATTATCGAAACGGCCAGGATAGCTAAATGTCGTAGGCGGCTAGATAGATAGATAGATAGATAGATAGATAGATAGATAGATAGATAGATAGATAGATAGATAGATAGATAGATAGATAGATAGATAGATAGATAGATAGATAGATAGATAGATAGATAGATAGATAGAAATGCTCAAAGTCGCCGAAGATCGCTAAAAATGCTTCGCATTTAAAACAAACAAAAACGAGGAAGGCCGCTTGGTTTCGCACTCGCTTCACGCTTGGCACCACCGCTAGCGCGAAGCTACCCTAACTTTTTTTTAACTATACAATAACGGCCGATGACTTCTAACACTGCTGATATGTGGGGTTTAACTTCCCAAAATCACCATATGATTATGAGAGACGCCGTAGTAGAGGGCTCTGGAAATTTCGACCACCCGGGGTTCTTTAACGTGGACTCAAATCTGTGCACACGGGACCACAGCATTTTCGCCTCCATCGAAAATATAGCCCCTGCAGCCGGGACTCTATCCCGCGACCTGGGGGTCAGCAGCCGAGTACCTTAGCCACTAGACCACCGTGGTGGGGCGTTCACATTGCGTTCGAAAACAGTTTACTTCCCACCGTTATCCTCAGAAAGCCGGAGAGGGGACCATAAGCAGGTCGTTGTGAGCATAGACTTTCCTACAAGTGCACCAGAGGAAACTCTGGTGCTAGTGTCTATGGGAGCTATGACGCACGGCGCTTCAGCGAGAATGGGAATGGTTGGTATAATGCATGGATTCGTTTAATCTTCGTACTTCCGGCCCCGTTTGGTTTTCGCGTGGCTTCTAGCTGCTTTGTCACGAAACGCCAAATTAGAAAATGTTCAACAGTTGCACTTCTCTACATTGACCTTTTAGCTTCACTAATTCACATCAAGTCATGGAGTTCACAACGGTTCGTTCTTTCATTCCATATTGACCATTTCAAAAACTTCTATATCCATCATTCCCCTCTAGTATTTTAGGAAACTATGGTTCTAAGCAGCACGTAACCGCTTCAACTCTATTCTTGCATTCACTGCGAAGCTTGTTCGTTTTCGGGACTCGACCAATGAAAGTAGAAGGAGACGCGTAGCGGTGAGACGTTGCCGCACCCCCGTCCTAATTTATAACTCTGCGCACGCCCATGTTTTTCATGATCATAGCAACAGGTTGTCGCACGCGTCAGGCGAAGAAAATGAGAGGAATAAGTAAAAACGAGAAGTTCGAATACCAACTCTCATTCAGGCAGGACTTGTAGAAGTTCTTAGCGTTGATGGTAGCGTTGCTGTCGGATGCGTCGATGGGCGCCTCCAATAGCTCTGAAAGATACAAACAACCGAGAAAAAGTGAGCAGATCACGCGTACCTTGGGAATCGAAGAGTGCAGATGTTTATTGAATCAGTTGTTTGCACTTGCGCAACGGATGCCAACGGGAAGATGAGTATAAGCGAAACTAGAAGCGATTAGCTGGTTTGAAGCGTTGGTGCTAGCGAGGATGGTAGCTCTGGACACTGCTACATAAATCAACTTCGGCGCATGGCACCTAACTGCAATTAACGTTAACCCGGCGTCACGGCTGCTATCATAAGAGTACATATGTAGTGTTTATAAAACTTGATAGCAAGCACTGTACCCGCAATTGACGTTTCAAGAACATTAAAATTTATTCGAAAAGTATTTCAGAGAGCTAACCTGGCTTTGTGGTAGAATGCTTGATTGCCGCGAGGAATGCTTGGATTTGATTCCTACTGTCCTTACATTTAATCTTTGAATTCGTCGGATCAACGCTGCGGATGTCAGGTTCGTCTTAACGCTCAGGCGTTGAAATTGCCCATGCGTGTCCTCGTCGTTCTTAGACACGGTCAATAACCTGTGGCACATATCCGCATACCAGTGGCACATACCCTCACTAGGGTATGTACCACTGGTCAGTGTTTGACGACATAAGCGGCAGAATATTGACCTTATTTATATCTTGACCAGCGCGTAGCATTCGTCAAACCATTTTACCACCCCATACTAATTTTGGTCAAGCCAAGGTAAGGAGGTGATCACAAGAGTACCCAGATGTAAGCAGCTAGATAGATCGATAGATAGGTTGGTAGATGGATCGCAGATAGACGCCAAAAGTACTTAAAGGGACTCTAAAGTCAACTATTGAATCGAAGTGATTGCTGAAATGACGGTTCAAAAACCTCGTATTGTTACTTTTGTGCCGAGGAAGGGTCTATTTTACAATAAAATCACGTTTTAGTGCTCCGAATCGGGTTAGCCCACTTCAAATTACCCGCCTCAAGAAGTGGACCAAGCGGACCGACTCACGTTACTGTGTCCATGCACAACGTTGCCCGGCTTTACTGCGCTAGTAGCAGCAGACCGAAAGCAGCGGGAGCCACAGCAGCAACAACGGCCATTGATCAATTTCCCGCTATTAACTTCGAGATTGCAGACGCTTTTGTTTCAACTTTGCCCCACTAGATGGCACTACCTATCCCGTGAACCATGGCACTACCTATCCCGCGTGCCGCACGGTCCTCTCTTTGCATGCCTGTCTGACCTTGGACTGCCCCGGCTGCTAATCTCCACTATACAACGGTTGTACAGTGACAATGTAGTGAGTGTGCAGTTGGGTGCCATAACTACTGGCCCAATTCATGTAAATAAGGGTCTGAGGCAGGGCTGCCCACTGTCACCATTGCTGTACATTCTATACGCATCCAGAATAGAGCGGGCCTTGTTGAACTCCAACCTCGGATTCAGCATGCGTTTCAGCACAACTAGTGCTGAAGAGAACTTCCACCTGCCTGGTTTGGCATTTGCAGATGATCTGGTGGTTATGGCAGAGAGTAACCAGGAGTTGCAATCCCTCCTCGACATCTGCCAGACGGAACTCGCGAGTCTTGGACTTCGATTCAACACTAAGAAATCGGCGGTTGTCCGTCTAACTGGAGGGAGTACCGATGCAGCAGCGTTGACTTTAGGAGGAGAACTGCTGGCCACGCGCAACGATTACAGATACCTGGGCGTCACCCTGTGTGTGGATGCAGCAAAATATAGTCTACACGAGACTGTGATTCGACAGACTGCGTTGCAGGCTCAACGAATCCTTCGTCGCCGATGCCTATGGGGTTGCAACCGATTTCAGATGATCCGGGACCTGTGGAAGATGGTTCACGTGCCGGGCCTGACGTTTGGAAACGCGGTAGTGTGCATATCGCCAACGACACGGGAGTGGTTGGAGCGTCAGCAGAGAGAGGTCGGCCGTGCAGCGCTCGGTTGCCATTATCGAGTGGCCAACGAGGCGATTCAGGGAGACGTCGGATGGTCCAGCTTTGAAGCTCGGGAAGCCGCCAGCAAGATTGCCTATCGGGGTCGTCTCACGCTCATGCGACGCACTCGATGGGCGCGCCGCGTGTTCGAGTACCTTTCGGCAACATGCATGAGGACTGACTGGACACGACGACTCTACCAGCTGGAGAAGAAGTATGGCTTCTTTGCAGAAGCCAGTCCTATTGAAACAGCAGCCAAGTGGACGGTCGAGGTCCGCATGCGAGTCAGAGAAGCAGAAGAAACCCGATGGCGAGAAGCTATGGAGGCGAAGTCCACTCTCGAGTGCTACAGGAAACACCAGGACAGCATCTGTGGGTCGCGCCTCTATGACAATAGCATTGGCAGCAGCCTCCTGTTCGAGGCGAGAGCTGGGGCTCTTCGCACTCTGGAGTACCGCAGAAAGTTTGATGCCACTGTGGTCAGCAACCTGTGCAGAGTTTGCGGCGTAGCGAGTGAGACACAGGAGCATCTCGTCCTTCACTGCAGGAGTCTCCCAACTTCTCAGGTGGAGGGTGCAACCCTCCCACAGGCGCTCGGGTTTCAAAGGCTTGATGAAGATGGAAGCAGCGACAATGGGGGGGGACGGTACGCGGTCGCAGCCACGAAAAGGCGGCTTACTGAGTGGTGGGCAACTATACGGCGGACTTAGGACCTAGACCACTGTGTGCGCGTCTCTTGCCTGTGTCGTTCAAGAGTGTGGATCCTTTTCTTGGTCCTTTCTTTTTTCTCTGTGCTTTTTGTTTTTCTTTTCCCACCTTTCTTTTTGAGGCCAGGACACTGAGTGTGTTCCCCCGTTGCAAAGGGGCCGGCCGCCATCACATCATCATCATCATCATCATCACCATGCGGAAATTGAATTTTTGAACAACTCGTGCTATTCCCCGTTTGCAACGTCCGGCGGTTCTTTTTTCCATGAATCAAACAGAAACGAACAAGCAGCATTTTATTGCGTCTCTTGATGCCCGGAAGGTTCTTTATTTAGTGCAGCTAGATTGATTACTATTGATTAATTGTAGGCGGTCCGTCTGATGTCATCGGGATCATTTTGAAAATGTCCTACTGCGGCGCTTGTGTTGTTGTGCATTCACCTTAATTTCTCGGTAAGTAGGGCACTAATTTTGATAATATTGTCGTTTTAGATGTCATACATTGGGCTTTCACTCTGACGCAAATTGTTCTTTGATTTTAGTGTCCCTTTAAAGTTCACAAACAAATGTTTCACATTTAATAGAAAGGTTAACTGGTGCTCTGCCTCTAAATTTAAATACTCGACTCTCTTTCTCTCTTTCTTAACACTCTATCGAGGAGTGCACAAACACCAGGACAAATAAATTGATTTTGCGAAAGGAATCACTAGCATCCCACTTACTGTAGCACAAGCGTAGAGATCTACTACGGCATGCGTCTGTGTTTATTTACCGACATTAGTGTTTTCCGCCTGTGGGTCTCTTTTTCCCATTAGTTCGCCTCAAAGAACCGCGGACATCGAGTGCCCCGGGGAGAATAACAAACGGGACCGACCTGGCGCGTCAACTATCGTTTCGTACCCTGGTTGCTCCGTAATACCATGCATCCTGGAGCGATAAGAAGTCGAGACGCTCAAATCAATGGAGGGCCCCCGAGGCACATCACAATGACACACCGCGCTATCACACGCCGTGTCGTAATACTCCGACTTTTGATTGCTTTTCTCGTGTGCGTAAATAGTCACCTTCTGTTTTCCGTACAAATAAAGCAGCCTTGTCGCGTTTCCTATTGTTTCCGTAGTGACACTATTGGTCTCGAGAGCTTGGGGATCATGTTCCTTTTACGAAAAAGTACACAGCAGGCTCGAACTTATTGAAAGTCCACAATCCTCATATGTACGAAAAATTCGCTGTGTGTTCAGCGAACGCCGTGCCCTAGCTTTGAGCATGAACCTTAAAAGAGAACAATAGAATGCCATTTCATAACCACTACTGATGGGCCCTGCTACGGCGTGTACATGTTTTTCATTATCTGATTCTAAATAAATACATGAATAACATAACTGTCCACGCGTTGGGTATGTTCGTGTAGCCCCGCCGTGGTGGTCTAGTGGCTAAGGTACTCGGCTGCTGAGCCGCAGGTCGCGCGATCGAATCCCGGCCACAGCGGCTGCATTTCCGATGGAGGCGGAAATGTTGTAGGCCCGTGTGCTCTGATTTGGGTGCACATTAAAGAACCCCAGGTGGTCGAAATTTTCGGAGCCCTCCACTGCGGTGTCTCTCATAATCATATGGTGATTTTGGGACGTTAAACCCCACATATCAATCGAATATGTTCGCGTAAATGTATTGATGGTTATTTGGCCATCACTGGCACATGTACCGCTGACTACTATCATCACCACGTTTGTGTAATTGGCGCTTGATCGCTTGATCTGGAGTGAATCAGTTATTCAATTCGAAAATAAATAAAAAAAGCCTGTGTTATATGACCCATAAAAATAAATTACTGAAAAGCTGTCGCACCCACCAGTATAGTACATCCGCCCAGTAAAGTAACACCTTTGCAACCTTGAGGACGCTGGTTTATCGCATGACTAACTCCTTCGGCCTTGCAGCTGTAAAGAGTTTTTTGTTTTGTTTTGTTCCATGCGTACAGTGATGTTATTGATTACGAATGCTATGGCTTATTCTCACCACACATATGCGTATCAAGCGCGTACGTGTACCTCAGGGGTAAGTATACCCTGGGGGTAAGATTTCATCGCAACTAAAAATAAAAACAAAACTATTCAGGCCACTTAAACACACAGACATATAAGAGATGACTGCTTGCTATCATTAGCTACTTCGTGTTACAATTTTTTAAAATGTTACTATGTGACAAAACACGCAAGCTCATCCCCTTCCCTCCTCCCACCGTCTTAATTGTTTATGTGTGCGTGTGTGTGTGTGTGTGTGTGTGTGTGTGTGTGTGTGTGTGTGTGTGTGTGTGTGTGTGTGTTGCCTCACAACGAGTGACAGAAGAGCGAGACCCTAGTGGCCCGTCGCCCCCTTGAAGTCGTTCACACCGAGACTATACTCTACTGATTCACCGGGCGGCCTAAAAGGGATGCGCATGGATACATTGACGAGGAAAATGAAGACAGGTTAACGTGCTTGTCGTCGCGAGAAAGACGGACGTTGGAGTAGTTCTCTAACTAGCCGTGCGCTCCTGAGCTCAGCTACACGACCTGATAAGCAGCACCCTTCAGGCTTTAACTGTCTTCTTCAAGTGTAGCACGCGGTGTCATTGGCGCGCTTGGCTCCCACGACCTCCGAGCGCAATTTATACGATCACGGGGCTCGTGGCGGAGGGGGGGGGGGTGGCGTGCTATGCAGTGCATGGCGGTGCCAACATGGGTGCGGTTTACCTTTGAGCACTACCTTGATTTCGTCTTTCATGACGGCGAACGTGTCCGAGTGTGGCCGGTCCGGCGGCAGCACGTGGTACAGCTTCCAGCGACCGCAGGCAAACTCGTAGAAGTCCGCGCACGGGTCCACGTTCATGTCCATATTCCGCAGCATGGCGGCCGCTGCACGTGCGCACAGAGGAAAACAATGGTTACTCTTAGAAGTACCCAATAAGAACTCCTCATTCATTCATTCATTCATTCATTCATTCATTCATTCATTCATTCATTCATAAAAGTGCCCATTAGTAGTTTTAAACCACAGTAACGGCAACATTTACTAAACGGAGACTATACTAACCAAACAGAAAAATACAATTGCAAAGCCCGAAAAAGGTGTGGTAAAGGAACGCAAAAAATAAAAATAAAATAATCACCGCAACAATTTAGTGAAATAACACGTACAGCAGAACTAATAACGTAAAGATGATAGCGCGAGACATTTCGTTGCGATAGGGTATATAGAAAAGAAACCCCGTATAGGGCTACCGGTGCCAACTGATTTCGCGCGGAAAATGCTACGATTACAAAACCAGTGCAGTCACAACTATAGTTATGAATTTATGCGATAGCAACTAATCACGATATTTTACACTTGTTTATTTATTGATACGTGGGGTTTAACGTCCCAAAACCACCATATCATTACGAGAGACGCCGTAGTGGAGGACTCAAGAAATTTCGGCCACCTGGGACTCTTTAACGTGCATCTAAATCTGAGCACACGAGCCTACAGCATTTTGGCCTCCATCAAAATTGCAGCCGCCGCAGCCGGGATTCGATCCCGTGACCTGCTGGTCAGCAGCCGAGCCACTATAGATAACTGCGGCGGGGATATTTTACACTTGCACAGTACATAGGCGAAAAGGCCCATGTTGCATTTACAGGCTCATGTTACTGCGAATGTATTCTTGATATGCTGTGTCCCGGCCCGAAGCCAGGAATTTTTTTAGTGGAGCTCATATACTGAAGGTCTTGACATGTTGAGAAAAAAAATGTTTTCTGTTAAACAAAAACAACCTCCGTCAAAAATTCAAAAGGGGGGGGGGGGGCTCTAGGGCACTCCTTTGGCTACGACCCTAACGGTTACCCCATTTACGGAACCGTCGTCAGCTGTAGAAACTGGTGGGACGCTATAGCGTCTGTGTCTTTATGTGTGTTTTCTTCAATGTCCGGTTCACGCTTTTCTTAAACGCACCTCATTTAGATTTCGGGAAAAAAAACATCCAGATTTCATATCCAGATTTCAGGCTGCAGGTTTACCGTGTACTGCGCGCACGAGTTCAGATTCACTTGCCGACTGAACGCAAAAAACCTTGCGAACCATGCATGGATCAGCGAGATGACTGTAATACAACTAATTACCCCATTCTGCGTGCAGTCAAGCGGCAAGTTCCGTCGGCAATAACCATAGCTGAAGGGACGCTATTGTGCCCCCTGCGGCTCGGGGTGGCCTTTACGAATGCCTCTTCGTTTCAAATCGTAATGGCCAGCAGCCCGACATGCGACAACTGTGGCTGGGGAAAGTGATTCTTAAATGAAAAAAAAAGATAAAAGTGAGCCCCATAACTGTCTCTCATGGGGAGGACACCTCAACAGTAGCTCACGAGGGATGGGGGTGAGGAGAGATTAAAAGGATTTAAAAGGTATTAAATTCAAAGTATTGAGATAGAGAGAGGGGCAGGGACAGCCACATAGGCAAGTAAGTAGAAGATAGTAAAGATGGACGCGGTCTCAAGAGTCTGAGGACGGGGCACTACTCAGTGAGAGCCCTTATCGGCCTCAGGAGATGGCGTAGGGTGAGCCAGTCGGCCAGAGCTGCGCTGCCGTCGGAGATCGCGGGGGCACAACCGGTCGGCACGAAATCCAGCGAGCGAGACCAACTGTGGCAGCGCAGAGACAGTTGACCATCTACTCTGTGGGTGTCCTGACTTCAGTGCACCAAGAAAAGAACTTTGGAAAGTTCTACATAGGCTTGACAATCGCCAATTGTTGGAAGAAAGAGTCTTAGGTCACTGGCTGAGACCATCGTCAGCACGCAAGGCACTGACACCGTTGTAGCGCTTCTTGCGGGCAAGTTGCCTCAGAGAAGGAGACTGCAAACAGCATCGTCGATCATACTCTCGTCCCTTTTTAACATCGCTTTTCGGTCATCTTTTTCCCCCTTACCCCTTTCCACAGCACAGAATAGCCAGACGGTCTGGGAACTGGACAACTTCCCGGTCTTTCCTTTCCTCCTCTGCTGCTCCTCCTCCTCCTTACATATTTTACTGCAACGCAATGTATCGTGACAAACGTTAAGAGTGCTCGCTGGCGAGGCTGTTTTCACTTCTTGAAAACTTGCATGAGCGAATGTAACGGTAGGTGACGTTGCATGTGCAAGCGTCAGTTTTATTTCTTCATGCACGGCTGTATACAAGCGCGTCTATGTTTTTCATGTATGCGCGAAAAATAAATGTCTGCATCTGTGTGGTCTTGGATAAATTGATTCCCATTGTCTGCTGTCTGTCCACTCTCCCCTTCAAGTTTAAAGAGGCCTTGGCTGGCCAGTTCTGTATTGAATTGTTGCTCTCAAATTGTCAATAAATTATTATTATTATTATTATTATTATTATTATTATTATTATTATTATTATTATTATTATTATTACGTACCGGCTTTCACGCAGGCTTCTGTTATGCACACGCTCTTGCACTGCTCACCCAAGCACTCTGCGAAATTGAAAACATCACTCATTTCTGGCTGCAAACAACTTGACTTTCGGAACAATTTATTTATTTATTTTAATATTTGTTTATTTATCTGTTATCTATGTTTGTTTGTTTGTTTTGTTTGTTTGTTTACACTTACATTCACGATGACGCTGTTATTACAATATAAAACTTAAGGTATACTCAGAGCGATTGTTTACATGGAAACCTTCCGTACGGAAACACCTTAGATTAGTTTTATATTATAACAGCTGAGCCGATTTAAGATAAATCAGAAACTTTCTATGAAGCACACGCTGTTAGCCACGGAAAAATAGCAACTGAAGTTGTCTTACTGTTTAAGCAAAAGCAATTCCGCGAAGATTTTCACTACTGCAACATCGGACTTAGGTGATATAGAAAATTATGAGACGGAAAGAAGACGTTTTCGAGGAGCGATTGCAAATTGAAATGAGTCTATGAGTAAACATAGACTCATCATAAACAACATAGATGGTTATACAACTGTTCACAGATAATATATGCAAAATTATCACGGTATTCCTGCAATTAATAGCGGTAAAAGATACAACTTGATTACTGTAGGTAGACTGTTTTATTTTTCTTGTAAACGAGGTTACGTGAACGCGGCAATACATATACTTGCTTCGTATTGATAAATATTCCAGCTTTGTTGCATGTGCGTGAAAGCAATCACAAGTTAAAACTGATTCGCATATTGCTAATCAATACTACGGTGATATTGTGTTTCAGTCGCCGTGCAGCTATGGTTACAACTGCTAACAAGACTCACTACACCTTACCTTGCCTCGTCCTGGATGCGTTGCTTGGTGTCTCTAGGTCTGGAATGATAAGAGGATGAAGCGTAAAGAGCCACGTCAATTCCAAATCAAAGACGCTATAACGTAACTAAATCAAAGTCCTCATATCGGGGCAGCTACCTATTTTGCTACTGATAGAGTGAAATGCACTTTCGTGAGTGAGAAAGACTTTATTTGGTGATCCGGCGGACGACATTCCTAGCCCCGCGAGGGGAAGATCATAGTGACGCTGCCATGCGCTTTCGTATAGTTTTCTAACTAGAGGCTTACAAGAGTGAATATACCAACCGTTCCACCACTGCCTATACCAGACCCCACGCGCGAAACTTTGTTATTGATGACATTTAACGTCACAAAACCATGACTTGGTTTGAATTCATGATGAACCACGATTCGGTGGTGATGATGATGATAATGATGATGGACCATGACATGTTTTAAAATTCATGGGGTTTATCTTCCCAAAAAAAACCACGACATCGTTATGAGACGCATTAGTAGAGAGCTCCGAAAATTTAGAGCCCCTGGGGTTTTTTAACGGGCTGATGTAAGCACATGGTCTTCGAGCATTTTCGCCTTCATCGTAAATTCGTCCATCCAAGCCCGGGATTCGATCCCGCGACCTGCGGATCAACAGTCGAGCATAATAACCACGAGACCACCGTGCCGGGTGAAACTAACTTGTTTGTCGACGAGTGACGCTCGAATTGTGCCTCACCTAAACATGTTACTCCTACAGGCAATCGTCTTAATAAAAAAAATCTACATTGCTTCACGCTTGTCTTCCCGTATATTCAGTAAAATTCAAGTAATTTTTCAAAATTCTTTCTGAAGATTCTGAAGCCGCCTTCGTATAAGTCTGCATTGCGGCCATTATTCGTTCTGATCGAGCGTGGAACTTGGGCAGGCCTATAATTGCATTATAAAACCATTGCTTAGTGGATGGTATACTGTTTGAGCGTTTCAGCGAAGAGGCCCTGCCTCGGCGTGTTATCTCTTTTGAAAGCGCCGACCCGATGCATATGAAATGAGCGCAATATCTCGTAAGCGGCTCTTATTCGACGTCATTTGAATGTGCGAACCTAAGTATGGGCGTAGAAGAAATCTCGGCGGAGAACAACAGTCCTTTGTTATCCAGTAATATGCTGCATAAATTGGGAAATCTTTGGGCAAATATATGTCGCCCACACGAGACGGGTAGAGCTGGCGGGATTTGGGGGAAGGACCAATAACTTTTTTTTGCGTAGACTTTATCAGCAATGACACGCGCGAAGAAAATTAGTCACCGAAGTCGGATAACGTTGGCAAATCACCATTCAATACATAAAGTTTTGCTCTTTCTATATTTAACGTCTTGCGTAAGTTGGGTTCCATTGTACAAGCTTTGAAAGCGATGGTGTAGCTGCTTTGCCAATAGGCTGTAAACTGCGTGGCATTGAACGGATTTTGTTTTAGGTGGCCCTGCCAACGAGCAACAAAGAGAGAGAGAGAGAGAGAGAGAAAATAAGGAGAAAGGCAAGGAGGTTAACAGGGCTGAGCCCCGGTAGGCTACCCTGCACTGGTAAAGGGGAGAGAGGAAGGAAAGTTATAGAAAAGGAGAAAAAGTGCACTGACTGGGCCGACAAGCCTAAATGAATTGTTTAGTATAAGCTTCTCTTTATTTTGTCGAAGGGGGCAACTGCTCTACAGTCGTTATGTACAAACTATCGCTAAGGAAGGCGAGCACTTCACGAATGACGTGACAGGCAACACCATGAATATTTATGCACATTTGTTTCTTTTTTGTATTTGCTATGCGCGTCTAAATGCTGGACTCACGTTACCAGCCATGGTGGTCTAGTTTCAATTGCTGAAACACTGGTCACGGGATCGAATCCCGGCCGCGGTGGCTGCACTGCTTTTGATGGAGGCGATAATTTCGTGTGCTTCGATTCATTGCGGCGTCCTTCCTAATGACACCGTGGTTTTGGGGCGTTAGACAGGGCGCAAGGACGTATCCACAGCACTTACTGAGTAATGTTTCTCTATTTAATAGAATAAGTATTTTCTGAAGAGATTTTTTCAGTAAAATTAATGCCAATACCGTGTATGAAGTAGATCACGTAGAGAATGTTCATATGGAAATTGTTGAACCTGAAGCCAGCTGTCATTGGTCGGTACAGTACTTTCGAAGCAAGGATGGAGTGACCGAACTGTGTGGTAATATCTGGTAAAGTTAAAAAAAAACGCAAATGATTCGTCTTCCATGTTGGTATAGGCTAAAGGAAAAGATTGCTATAGCTTACTTGTTTAGCAGCTAGTTTTTGTTTTATCAGGCATGAAACAATGATATTCTCATGTAACCTTTTCATCTTCTCTGGAAACAGCAGGTTTTCTCGATTTCGGCGTGTTATTCAGGAATCTGGACTAAGTATTGAACTTATTTCGTGTCTTACGCTTTTCTGCAGATGCGCTATATGCAATTTATTCTTGATAAAGTGTTTCCTGCAAAATATGTGATCAAAAATATTCAACCTTGCGTCTTTTGAGATTGCGTCCTCGGGCTACCTCAGGTGCTTTCTTGCTCGAAATCGTCGGAAGTTTCTCGTTGAACGCCCACTCTTGCGGTGCCCCCCAATCTCTAGCGCAAAAATTTGCATCTTATTGCACTGAAAAGTTTCGGTCTGCATTTCGCCGTTAGTATTTTACCGCGATATTTTGCCGTTCGCCTTGACGCATGGGTTGACTCAGAGCCTCGCCCGCCATCTATTTTCATCCCACGGAGCAATATCGGTGGTTCCACGCTGCAACTTTCCTGTAAGCTTATTCAACTTTCCTCTTCCTATATCTAAACCTAAGACATCAAGAAGGCTTACTCCGAAAAGTCTTGCTGTGTTTACCTTACCTCGTTCTTCGCAAACGCTTCTGCATAATGCCACGTCATTGCGAAGGTGAAGAAAGAATACGCCTACGGGAAGCGCATGCTGAAGAACAAACTTTATTGCACAAGCTTACTGAAAAAAAACCCAACTACAATGAAAGAACAAGCAAACAAAGCAACACACGCAGAGGGACGATAACTTCAGCACCGTTGTCGCCAGCCAGAAGTCTAGAAGTAATCACAAGGAACGAAGTGCGATAAAGTTGTTCGTAAAAGAAATGTTCAGCCACTCGCCATGCTGGGCGTATCACCACCGAAGTTGGTTGACCAGTGAAGAATGATCACTTAGGTACAAACAGCTTCCCGAACTCAGCTCCTGATAGGCGGAGGCGGACCAAATGCATCGGCTATTTCACGCGAATCATGATGCACTCTTAAAGGGGCACTAAAGTAAAAAAAAACAATTAACGTGGGAGTGGAAGCTCAATGTATTATAACCTCTAGAATGACATTATTATCAACAGCAGTGACCTACTTACCGAGAAACTAAGGTAAATGCACGTGAACACATGCGCTACTACAGGACATTCTTAAAATGATTCCGATCACATCAGAAGAACTGCCTACAAATAATCACTAGTAATCAAACTAGCTGCCCTAAATAAATACACTTCCGTGCGTCAGGAGGCGTAATAAAATGCTGCTTGCTCGTTTCTGTTTGATCTATCGAAAAAAGAACAGCTGGACGTTACTAAGGGGAATGGTGCGAGTGGTTCAAAAGTCAAGTTTCGCGTGGCTAAACTGGATAGGTTGTGCCATCTAGCGGGGCCAAGTTGAACCAAAACACGTCTGCCATCTCGGAGCCAATGACAACCGTTGCTTCTGCTTTGGCTCCCACTGCTTTTGGTCTGCTACTACTGGTGTCGGCGGCCGTGCGGTAAAGCCGGGCAACATTGCGCACGGCAAAAATGACGAGAGACGGTGCGGCGGGCGATTTGAAGTGCGCTAACCCAATGAGGACAGCTAAAAGGTTATTTTATTTCAAAATAATCACTTCCTGGGCACAAAAGTTACTCTACGATGTTTATGGACTAATATTTGAACAATCAACGTCGACTGAATAGTTGCTTTTGATGTCCCTTTAAGAAAAAAGCTCTTTTCGTGTAGTCCTGCTTTGTCACGTAAGCGAATCTTTATAAACAATCACATTAACTATATTTTGGGTTACACTACTCTCACAAGAGAGTATATTGACCCCCAAACAGAGCTGACGCGTCTCTTTAAAAACTGTCATTTACGTGGCAAGCCACAAGTCTTAAAAAAATTCGAAAAACTTCCTTTCTT